GGCTAAATCAGATAGTCTGTTATGTTCGGGTTTTCCATATTTGCGGTGGTGTACCTGTAAACTGTTGTATCATCTCAAGGATACTCATTAATGATCGGATTATGCTATCAGGCAGATCGCTAATATACAGTAGAAAAAGGATGCTTCGAAGGAGAGAATCCTCTGGAACGTCGGCATCTTATGGGCTTCCGATAACTAACTGTTTAACTGTTAACACCGACCTTCAGGAACCTAGCTGGAAAATTTATGCAGCAAACCCCGATGACACACTGTCAAATGCTTTTTATATATCCAGGGTAATGGTCCTCCTGATGAATTTATTGGTTGAACAGTTTTGCCAGAATTGAAGATAACTCTGGATTGATAGTCTTAAGAATAACCCCTGGGGTTTTGTCCGGTTCGGTGACCTTCTTATAGTCAAGGCTTTTGATAAATCTACAAATTTATAAACTTTATAATTATGTATCTCCTTTTAAAATCTTTCTGTAAGCGTGTTAAATTCTTTTATGTACCATGTCCGCCCCGCTTCATGACGTAGGCGGTTATAGCTGTTCAAATATTTCTGTCATTTATATCTCTTAATAAATATCGTCTTTTTGTTCTTTCTTCTTGTTCCACCATTTATTCACTCAAGCACACTTTGTAATTTATGCGTTGTTTTTCTCTGTCCCTCTTACCTTCAATCTGTCCTGTGAGTATCAGATTTTCCAATCCCTCTTTCCTCATTATGTGTCCCAGGAATTTAACTGTCTCTTTTTGATGTTCAGTATAAGTGACCTTTTTGTTTCTCTAAAACTTCGTCGTTGTTCGTATGTTCTGTCTATGATAATCTGTAGAACCACATTTCTGTTGCTTCAAGTTTCTCTTTCATCTTTGCGGAAATTGTCCATTTGTTCCTGTTGAGGTGTTCAAGAACATTCTTGGTGATTATAGATTCGGAAAGTTTGCTGATGGCACTAAGGAGGCTAATGGGTTGATATTGTGATAAGCATGATCGTTCACCCATATTCTTAAAAACAGGATACACAGTTGACACTTTCCATGGATTTGGGAAGAATGTCTCCTTCAGGCAGTGAGTGAACAGTTTTGCCAGAATTGAAGATAACTCGGGGCTGATAGACTTATGAATAACCACTGGGGTTTTATCCAGACCAGTGATCTTAGAGTCAAGGCTTCTGATAAGTTTGGAAACTTACCGCGCCGTGATAGATATTTTACAAAGTTTGTGATCCCTGATGATTAGAAAGTTAAGTAAGGTGTGGTAATTATCGTCCTTCTAAAGTAGAGCTAGAGTCAAAGTTCATTGCAATGAACCTTACCTTGTCACATGAGGATGTAATAACTTCAGAACTATTTATGATAGTTGGCACAGACGCTTTTCATCTATTGGGAATCTGATTCGTGATTTTCCAGAATTCAAAAAATCCAAGTCTTTTGTTTTTAACATTGGCTTGGATTGTCTGTGCATAGCTGCTTTTTACGTTTTCTAGAACTCTTGCAATAATTCTGGGCCGACCTGAATGCCGAAAGCGTCACAATTGACTGTTCTCTGTGGTAGACATGATACTAGTGATTATGGTGAGCTATGACTGTAGCATTTTATGGCATGCACCAGGGTTGGCTATTTGGTTTCTGTTGGTATTTTTCCTTTGGGATAAAATTGTCAATACCGGATATGATCTATTCTGGAAAGATAGAGGAAATTCTGGAATCTCTAGCTATGAAAAAAAACCCCAAAAAACAAAAGCTTAGAGAGGAACTTCCGCAATGTAGGATCTGAAGCTGTTCTAGTACAGCTTTGTATCCAAAGATAATCCTGTAAAGTGAAACATCAGGGGTGCTTTCGGTTTTGACATCAACTTTAACATTGATCAAAAGAGTGTCTAGAAGAGCTCAAAGGAGGCAACACTTCAGCGGAGCATTGTTTATCGGAAAGATGTGAGAAAAAGGAAGTTTGCAGGATGCCAGAAACACAAATGGACATAACAAGTATATGGGTCAGATCATAAGCGATAGAGAAGTTCTAACAATATCTGCCTTTTTTGTTTGTTCTGATTGAGTGGATTCCTTGTGAGTGAATATAGAAGGAAGTCACCAGAAATTATGAATGATTGTTGGGAGATGATCAGAGAGGATATCATCATATTTATCAGGTTTCTTTCTATCTATCTATCTATCTATCTATTTATCTATCTATCTATCTATCTATCTATCTATCTATCTTCACACACACACACACACACATATACACATACAGAGAGATGGGGAGAGAGAGAATTGTATTTTTATGTTTTGGTTATATCGAATTCTATATAGAGATTTTCCATATTACATAATTGAAATATTTAGAGAATTTTTCTTATTTCATTATTATTTAGAAGATGAATGTAGACACGGATTTTATGGCCATGACTGCACGTTGAAATGTGGAAATTGTCTAAACAACGAACAATGCAAGAAAATTGACGGTACCTGCCCATCGGGTTGCGCTTTGGGTTGGACTGGAAAACTTTGTAAAACAAGTAAGACAAATTGTTTCTGTTACGTTATGCATTGTTTATGAAACTTTATGTTTGTCACTAAATTAATCAAGTAATTAGTGTGGTATTTGTCTTGAGTTATTTGTTTAAAAAGGAATGCTCTATCCATCAAGTTGATTTCCTAGATGCCACATTCAACCTAGGAAAAAGAACATATCAACCATATGGAAAAACTTAACGACAAACCACTCTATATAGACATATCTTCCAACCACCCAACATCAACAAGCAAGCAGGTCTTGCGATCAATTATCCGCATGACAATTCTTTCAGTGAAACCATCTTCAACCAAACCAAGAAAGAATATGAAACAGACCTAAAAGACAGTGGATTTTAACAAATATGTGCGTCACGTGCCGAGAAAGTGGTGGGGTGGTATCATTGATCATCACCAAGATAGGTGCGTTGCGCACACACATCAGTCATAGCTCGAGCAGCGGCGAGAAAACATGGCAGTGTCGAAGCAGTTTATTTGAGGTCGTCTGTTTTATAGTGGGCTTGACCGCAGCCATATCAAGTCGCCGAATACGTTAAGTTTTTGGGCATGCTGTGAGTGAACATACCGCCAGGCATTGGTTTCAGAAATTCAGGTCGGGAGATCTGTCCTTTTGTGATGAACCAGGCAGTTGCCGGTCACAGTTCCTGGATGATGTGTCCTTGAAAGCGGTTATAGAGGAGGACAATAGCCAAAACTGGTAAGCTTGCTGAACTCTTCCAAGTTTTTGACTAAACAGTCCGACTTCACCTGCACCACATAGGGAAGGCGTAAAAGTTGAGCAAGTGGATACCCTACACACTGTCGGAAGCCAACAAACAACAAAGAGTTTCTCGTTATTTTCTCAGCACCGTAACGTACTCATATTTAATCGAGTGCTCACCATTGACAAAAAGTGATTCCTGTATGACACTTTAAAACGTGCCAGACATTGGAAGCCTGTGTCACCCACCACATGACCAACTCTACAGCCACGCTAGACAATGCTCTGTATCTAGTAAACTAGTCGATGAGTACTGCACTATGAACTGCTACCAACTAGCCAAGTTGGAACGCGTGAAAGAGACACTGAAGCAGGATGAACCAGTATTGATTAATCGCCAGTGCATACTGTTCCTCCATGGCATCCTGTAGTGTGGGTTACCAGGGATACCATACGGCGACTTTGCTGAAACACACTGTGCTATTCCCGGACCTTGCTCCAACAGATTACCATCTCTTTCATTAAACTGGAAAACACCTTCGGGAAATATTTTACAAATGAGACAGACTTACGGTAGACAATCGCAGACTTCTTTATGTCTAAGGCACCTGATCTTTACCACCAAGCCATGGCACACTCGGAGACACGTTGGTAAAAGTAGGATGCAGATGGGGATTAATTTGAGGACTAATGTCAAATTTGGTGGATAGATTTTTTTTCTAATAAATAAAAAACTGAAAGAACTTCTTGGTTTATCTTGTATATCACATAATTGAAACATTGTGATAAATTTCATTTTTCTTTTTATTTTGTAGACATGGATTTTATGGCCGAGACTGCATGAATGTGCCTAAACAACGAACAATGGATTTGACGATCGGTTGCGCATCTTGGGATGGTAAAACGAGTAAGAAAATTCTTCTAGATTTCAATATTATAAACCATAAGAAAACCAGTAAGAAAATTGTTTCTTTTGGACATTTCAATATTATAACAACGAACAATAGATAATTTTTCTTATTTCTTTGTTATTTAAAATGAATGACGGTGGCCAAGACCTGGCCAATGAACAATGCAGGTTGTACCGCTTTGGGATGGACTGGGATGGACTGGAAGACTGTGTAAAACGAGTAAGGAAAATACTTTCTATTACCTTATAAATCCATTTTTTACACATTTCAATATTATATACTTTTTATCTATACACACACACACACACACACACACACACACACACATATATATATATATAGGGAGAGAGAGAGAGAGAGAGAGAGAGTTTTAATTTATGCCATATTTATAAGTTAATATGGTCAATATAAAGGATAGTACGTATGTAAGTAGAAAAGTGGACATTAAGGTCAACACTAAGGGGTGACAATCTGTTTCATACTTAAACACAATCTTCAGTCCATGTGTGTTATGTTTTGATTCCTCTATTTTTATATACTGGTGAGTGATGCGTTATGAGTAGGTTTATTGTATTATTCTAACGGGTGTTTCATGGTCGGTAACAATTATATTTTGAATTATTCTAGTTGCTATTGAGTGGAAATAATTGTGGATCTGAATGCCGTTTAGTGGCTATTTCATAGTGTTGTTTCTTAACTTTATTATTGATTGGTATGTTATTTGTTGTCGATTGTTATTATTACGTTTACTTGTTTTTATGTGTGCATTCGTAGTTTGTTAATTAGTTTTTTATTTACTTAATTTATTTACTGTTGTGGATTCCGGGTTGAAATCCGGTACCAATAAATAACAAACGCCAGGAATTAATATAGGAAAATAAGGTATTAACGTAATAACACAAACTGGTAAAGCGGGTTAGTAGTTCCAGGAATACGTGTTAGTAGCAAAATATATATACAGTCTTTTGGTATTGAAGTATCGTTGTATGACTTCTTACTGAGTCTACGTGCTCGCTCACTGTGACTCCTACAACGCTGTTACCTCACCCTCGCTCTTCCGGTTACCTACAACCCTTCACTCTGGACTCGGCTTGACGGTCTTGCTCTCCCGGGTCTTCACGTAGCCGTAGTATATGTATATACTGGGTGAATCCATTTGTGTAAAAAGGAGAGAACCCCTCAACATTTACTTTTTTAGTAATTAGGATTAATATAATTATTTATTTTTTATTTATTTTTATTTTCTTGTTCCTTTTATAGTTTTCGATTTTTAAGTTTTAGTAAAATTTGTTTTCGTATCTGCATTTTGAGATAAGTTCTGATTTTTTTATTTAGTAGTTTGAAGGTCATTATAGTTATATTCTGTGAAGGTCATTATCGTTATTTTATCCTCCACACAGAGTTTACAGTTTTTGGATTTATTGTTGTAGTGTGATGTTGTTTTCACCATTTCCGTCATATATCTGGCGTGATTTGGTTTTTGTTTTTAATTTCCCATAAATGTTTAGAATGTATTCACGTATTTACTATTTGTAATGAAGTTAAGAATCTACACTATAAAACAACCACAAAACTGCATTCGGACCAACAATTCTTTCCACTTAATAATCCCTAGAATAATTTGAAACATAGACTTTACCGCCCACACAATAACCGTTAGAATAAAACGATGGACCTACTCATAATGCACCACTGACCAGCATATAGAAAATACTTTACTTGTGGAACACATATAGTAATGAACAAATCTGCGGGTTTATGGGTATACATTCACTACACGAATTAAGTCGAATAATCGCTATTTATGATATAGATGTCTCTACAGTGACGGCAGAGCCTCGTAAACCCTAAGAGACTGTAGCAGACAAGAAAACAGACAAAGCCCAAAAAATACTCCTATAAATTTAAAAAAATATGAAACATAAGCCTAAACTTAAAGTGAATTTCCTAGATGTCACACTCAACCTAATAAAAAAGGTACGTATCAACCATATAGGAAACCCAACGACAAACCATTTACATACACAAATCTTCCAACCATCCGCAAACAATAATGAAAGTTATCCCACAATCAGTTGATCTGACAATCCTTCCAATGAATCCATCTTCAATGAAATCGGAAAAGATTATGAAACAGCCCTAAAAGATAATGAATTTTAGGCAACATTCACGCACACACAACAAAGTACAAAAAAGAAGCCAACATAAATCCAAACATCATGGGATTCAACCCACCGTTAAACAAAATCATAAAAACAAATGTAGGAAAATATACATTAAACTCATATAAAATACTCCCCCTTCATCAAACACTCCCTTCGAGATATTCAACAGAAATGCAGTAAAAATCAATATAGTTGCATCGAGAACCTGATAGATAATAAAAACGCCGAACAAAAAAACAAAAACAAAAAAAAATTACCAACAAACGACCTGTAACTTAAGAGCAAAGAACGATTGCCCTTGAAATGGAAATGTCTTGAAAAACAATTTAATATACCAAACCACGGTAAAATCAACAGATAACGAAGAAAAATATATAGATGTATCTGAAGGAACCTGGAAACAGAGAAATTATGCAGAGAAAACATTGCTTACAAATAGTAAATAGGCGAACACCTTTCTAAACATACTGGAGAATTAGAAACGAAAAACAAATCACACCAAAAATACGATGGAAAATAAGGAAAACAGCATCAGCCTGCAACAATAAATCCAAAACCTGTAAACTCTGGATGAGAAAATAGTTATAACCACCTTTTCGGATCAGCCAAAAATATTAAATCAATAATCAGGATTTATTTAAAAAATGCAAACAGGAAAACAAATGTTTACAACGTAACTTGAAAATCGAAATCTAAAACTGAAAACATTGCAAAACATTAACAGGAAAATGTAAATATACGCACAAGATAAAACTTCAGATAACGTAACATACTTTAGAGAAAGTCAATACTTTAAACTAAACAAATAAGATCACTAAATCACAAAAGGAAAAAAAAAGAAAAATTAAAATAAATAAATTACGTAAATAATGAACAAATTAAGTAAATAAAAAAGATCTACGAATTCATACATAAACACAAGTAAAAGTAATAATAATAATAATAATAACAATAATAACAATGATAATAATAATGATCAAGAACAAATAATTAATGAATGAATCGTCTCTAGAATAATTTGAATTATAACCATTAGTACCTACTGTAACCGTGAGAAAAATACATTGCTTCCCATAATGCAACACTGTCCAGCATATATAAGTAGCGACACAAAACAATCATAGCCTGAATATTGTGTTCAAGCAGGAAAATGACTGTCAACGCTAGTGTAACACCTTTCACCGCCTGTGCCTACATCCGGTGGTGAAACTATGTTTAGGGGTCCTGTCCTCAGGGTCTTATGACGACGTTTTAACCACAGGGATAACTCTTCGCTGGTCAATGCTGAGATTAATCCAAGCTGCTTGTTGGTCGCTGGCCGCTTTGATCCACACCATCTCTGCCCACGTTCTGTTCTTGATCTCAGAGCAGTTGACGATTGAAGGTCGTGGTAATCGCAGCACTGGTTCAAGCTTTGGCAGGTGCTTCATTAAGGAAGAAAAATATTTTCACGACGAAAAATAAAACGAAATATTCATGGGGTTAATATTCAGTTGGTTCATATAGCTCTTGGTACAATAAAAATTAACTCTCCTTGCACCAATCTCTATCGTGACAATGGGCCTTGTCTAAACCTCTGGAGGAGATAGGTTCAAAGTCTTGGAATCAGGAAATCTGGTGGCAGCTGACGTGGATTTCAGAGGCACTCAATACGGGATCTCAGCCCAAAGTGTCTGAGCTCCCAAAGTCATCTGCTTATAGGCACTTCGGCCCGAAACTGGAGTAGTGTCGAAAGGTTCTGGAGAATCGGTGATACCCGAATTTCACATTAATCCCAATAAAGATTTGCTTTGTTCACAATTTCTGCTTTCTTAATAAACTTTCCAAATTTGGAGAATTATCCACCTTCTGTAGGAATAGTCACAGGGATTGCTCCATACTAACTCCAATCTGCTTCACTTCACATCTCGCACCACCATTAAACACAAGGGTGGCTAAATACTGTTTCTTCCTCCTTTCTTCACTGTATTCTAACTCTGTTAATCTCTCAGTGCTGGCATAACTATCTTTGAGAGAAATCTATTTTTTAAAGAGCATAGGTAAAAGGGCGTAATTTATTCTCCTCATTAATTTAAATTTTCCGAATCCCCTCCACCTCCCTAAAATCATCTCAATCCAGCGAGATTCCAAACCAGACTACTGCGTTCTCATTTAAACTCTCGAGTGATAGATAGATAAAATTATTTTCCAATCTGGTTTCGTCAACGAAAATATATTTTTACCTAAATTCTCAACAAAGAAACACGTTGTTCTCCATCCTTAGGCCGATCACTGTCTTAGCGAAAACACATACAAGGCCACCTGCTTGTTACAACAGGATCAATTTTCGTAATCCTAACCCTCGAGTTTTGTTCCCTGTTTTCATTTCTCAATTCGTGTTTGACAACGAAAACATAATTTCCGCCTGCCCCTCTTCTCGCCAATTACAAAAGTTTTTCTAATTTCCCAAGAAAGAGAAAAAGAATTTTCCCAACTTGTTCCAATTCGTAGGGGTGAGACAATCCAGTCTTTTTTAACTTCCACATTACCAGGGAAATGAGAAATATATTTTATGCTTTGGATATGGTATATTGTATTCTATATGGATATCGTTTTATATTATATAATTGAATCAATTTACTAATTTTTCTTATTTCTTTGTTATTTAGAAGATGAATGTAGACATGGATATTATGGCCGAGACTGCTCATTAGAATGTGGACATTGTCTAAACAACGAACAATGCAGGAAACATGACGGTACCTGCCGATCGGGTTGCGCCTTGGGATGGACTGGAAAACTGTGTAAAACCAGTAAGGAAAATTCTTTCTATTACTTATAAATCCATTCTATATGAATATTGTTTTAAATTACGTAATTGATACATTTTGCAAATATATCTTATTTCTTTGTTATTTAGAAGATGAATGTAGACACGGATATTATGGCTCGAACTGCAATTTAGAATGTGGAAATTGTCTAAACAATGAACAATGCAGAAAACATGACGGTACCTGCCCATCGGGTTGCGCCCTTGGGATGGACTGGAAGACTGTGTAAAACCAGTAAGAAAAATTGTTTCTATTATCTCATCAATCTAAAAAATTTATACACGTTTCAACATTACGTTTAAGATATATATATTTTTTTATTTATATTTATATATATATATAGAGAGAGAGAGAGAAGAGTTCCTTTTTAAGAAATGTATTTTTGTGTTTTGATAATTAATCGTTTCTATATGAATTTGTTTTTATTAGTAAGATGAATTTTGCAACATCGGATGAATTATGGCCCGAACTGCAAATTAGAATGTGGAAATTGCTTAAACAATGAACAATGCAGAAAACATGACGGTACCTGCCCATCAGGTTGCGCCTTGGGATGGACTGGAAGACTGTGTAAAACCAGTAAGAAGAATTGTTCCTTTTAATTTATCTATCTAATTTTTAAACGTCTTACTATTATATACATTTTCTTATACATTTATTATGAATGATATATATATATATATATATATATATATATATATATATATATATATATATATATGTATATATGTATGCCTAAAAAGACTTTCTCTCGTCCTCTTCTCCAAATCTCTCTTCTTTCAAGTTATACAGCGACAGAGTCGAGGTAAGAGGAGAGGCTGTGGTTTGGCCGGAATCCCCTAGTTCCAAACTGCACGTAGGCGGCTGTTGTTTCTTGGTTGCATGTCAGAGAATTAACGGTGACTCTGACATGAGGTCCCCTTATTTGTGACTGATGCCCATATTTTACGAATTGAAATTGCCCAACCCAATCTAGGAAAGCCCTATAAAATTTTGGCTAAACTTTGGATGCGATCACCTTCCTATCTGGAAAATCGCGACCAGCGGTTGCCCATTTTCTGCGGTCGACCAAATTCTTTCTATTATCGGCACCCTAACTTTTGGCGCATGGAACGCTTCTTCGATTTTCAAGATCGGACTTGGCCTGAACAAGAATGATACTCGTCTACAAGTATCTTGCACCCTTTGACATCAACGTAGCGGTCCTCAGTGAAACCAAAATGTTACGCAGAGGATGAATTGACGAAGCGGGATCTTGATATTCCATCTTCTGGAAAGAGAAACCATTTCCAGAATTCCGGATACATGAAGTGGGTTTTGCGGTCAAAACATTGCTGTTGCATGCCTTCAATCTCCTCCTCAAAGTCCAGTAATAAGAGGGGCAATAGAAACTGTAATGAAAACGGTCTTCGCCTTCTCAGCATAATGTGCTGAGAATGAGCTCCAATACCGTCTTTCAACTCCCTGCCCGACAAAATATCACCTGGAGGCATTCTCGAGCCAAACACTGACACGCCCTGGACTATGTCATCACCCGACAGAGAGACTGCAGAGACGCCCTCATCACACGCTCCTTCCCCGTATATCCAACGACTGCTGGACGGACCATCGATTGCTTATGTCCAAAATCGACATCCGAACACGCAGACATCTACGCGGAAAACACCCGGTGACAAGGAAATTTGACACGCAAAACTTGACTGATCCAAACGTGGCCAGGGAATACGCATCGACAATTGAGCGTCATACGAACCTCTGCGCAACAAATCACTGAAGAGTGGATATCCCTCCGGCAGAACACGTTCATAGCTGAAAAAAAAAACCCATCGGGCACACGAAAAGGTGTCAGAAAGACTGGTTAGACCAGAACGTTCTTGAAGCGAAACGAAAATTCAAAATTGAATATGAATCCTACATATCAACTCAAAGACTGGAAGTCAAATCAGTATGTCTCAAGGCTCACCGCCAATGGGAACTCCGCAGCATCCAAAATGACTATTGGAGAAACAAATCGGAAGAACTACAACAATACGCCGACAGCCAAAATCTGAGAGATTTCTCCTGAGGAATTCTGAGACTTCTTCTGAGACTTTCGATCCATTCAGGAAGTATACATCCAGCTGACAACATCACCGAACTCACCGAGACTCAAGATATTCTAGCGAGATGGCAAGAACACTTCTCTACCCTTCTCTGTAGTGATTCCACTGCAGGGTCAGACTTCCTCAGACGCGTACCATAGCACCCGATGCGACAGTAGATGTTTGTAAACCCTACTTTGAAGCTGCGTCAAATTCACCTGGTTCTTTATAACCTCGGTGCCTGAAATTGGTCAAGCATGCGGATTACCTCTCAAAACAAGAATCTTCATTCTTCTTCTAGCGATCTGGGAAAACAAGAAAGTTCCATCTGATCTGAAGGATGCGAATATCAACTATTTCAGGAAAGGAGATTGAAGCGCGTTCTTGGAAATTATTGCGGAATCTCTTTACTGTGCATCACAGGAAAGCTTCTTCTCAATCACCTTGTCAGAGGACATCCACCCTGAAAGTCAATGTGGTTTCAGAGCCAACAAAAAAAACATCGATAAGATTTTCTCCGTGAGACAAATCCAGGAGAAGTGCAGAAATCAGCAAAAGCACCTGGATATAATTTTCTACGATCTTGAAAAAGCGTTTGACAGTGTTTCAAGACCAGGCATGTGACAGGTCTTATAGACGTTATGGATATCCTGAGAAATTCACGACACTCATCCGAGCTCTACATGAGGGGGATGATGGGTCGTGTCCAACATCAATCTGGCTCTTTGTAACCCTTCCTCATGAAAGGAGGCATTGAACTCGATAAGTTAGTGGACAACTCCTGAGCGTACGTGCGCTACGCACTCATCATCATGTGCCAAAGACCATGGCCCTGCTACAACCACGACCGGGGCATCTACCACCACCTGTAGTCAATATCACCATCAATGAACTGGACATGGGGAATGTTGAAGAATTTCCATACCTCGGTTTTGTCCTTACAGCAAATGCATCCACTGAAATAGACGTCGATAATCGAATCAAGTCCACACACTCAGCATACGGGAAGCTATTCAAGTGTCTTCGGCAGTCCTTAACAAACACAAACCACCAAGCTCATGTTCTACCGTGTTGTTCTAATTTCGACTCTCTTGTACGACTGTGAGGCCTGGGTACTCTACCGAAAAGACATTCATAATTTGAAAGTTTCCATCAAATGAAACTTCGTCAAATCGTGCTGAATACGTGGCAGGACCGGATCACGAACAACGAAGTTCTCTTCCGTGTAAAGATGGAGAGACATCAGGACTCGCCACCGACTTCGATGGGCCGAGCACCTTACCCGAATGCCAGACATACGCCACCCAAACAAATCCTCTTATCGGAGCTCGCATCTGGCAAGAGAACACGTCATTGATTCAAGAGCAGCTGAAAAACACCTGAGGACAGATATCGATCCGGCCAATTTGGGATACAGAAGCCGAGAGTCAGAACCAATTTGACGGGGGGAGGAGGAGCAGTCGACGAAAAAAGAACAACGAGAAGACAAATAGAAGAGAGCACAAAGAAAAGCTTGAGCTCTCTATCTCATAAACAATCCTATACTACTGTGCATTGGTTGCGGTCATTGCTTCAGATTCGACGTAGAACTCATTTCATAGAGAAGGGAATGTCGATATGCTCGGCAACGAGTTCCGCTAACGATGACAATATAAAGATTATTTTATATTATATAATAAAATAATTTTGTTAATAATTGTTTCTTTGTTTTTTAGAAGATGAATGTAGACACGGATATTATGGCCCGAACTGCAATTTAGAATGTGGACATTGTCTAAACAATGAACAATGCAGGAAATATGACGGTACCTGCCCATCGGGTTGCGCCTTGGGATGGACTGGAAAACTGTGTAAAACCAGTAAGAAAAATTGTTTCTATTATCTCATCAATCTAAAAATTTATACACGTTTCAGTATATTTTCTTTATTTATATTGCATAGTAAGGATAATTTTGTAAATAATTCTTTCTTTGTTTTTTAGAAGATGAATGTAGACACGGATATTATGGCCCGAACTGCAAATTAGAATGTGGAAATTGCTTAAACAATGAACAATGCAGAAAACATGACGGTACCTGCCCATCAGGTTGCGCCTTGGGATGGACTGGAAGACTGTGTAAAACCAGTAAGAAGAATTGTTCCTTTTAATTTATCTATCTAATTTTTAAACGTCTTACTATTATATACATTTTCTTATACATTTATATTGATGAACTATATATATATATATATATATATATATATATATATATATATATATATATATATATATGTATGTATATATGTATGCCTAAAGACTTCTCTTCTCTCGTCCTCTTCTCCAAATCTCTTCTTTCAAGTTATACAGCGACAGAGTCGAGGTAAGAGGAGAGGCTGTGGTTTTGCCGGAATCTAGTTCCAAACTGCACGTAGGCGGCTGTTGTTTCTTGGTTGCATGTCAGAGAATTAACGGTGACTCTGACATGAGGTCCCCTTATTTGTGACTGGGATGCCCTATTTTACGAATTGAAATTCAAATTGCCCAACCCAATCTAGGAAAGCCCTATAAAATTTTGGCTAAACTTTGGATGCGATCACCTTCCTATCTGGAAAATCGCGACCAGCGGTTGCCCATTTTCTGCGGTCGACCAAATTCTTTCTATTATCGGCACCCTAACTTTTGGCGCATGGAACGCTTCTTCGATTTTCAAGATCGGACTTGGCCTGAACGAAAGATACCCTCGTCTACAAGTATCTTGCACCCTTTGACATCAACGTAGCGGTCCTCAGTGAAACCAAATGTTACGCAGAGGATGAATTGACGAAGGGATCTTGATATTCCATCTTCTGGAAAGAAACCATTTCCAGAATTCCGGATACATGAAGTGGGTTTTGCGGTCAAAACATTGCTGTTGCATGCCTTCAATCTCCTCCTCAAAGTCCAGTAATAAGAGGGGCAATAGAAACTGTAATGAAAACGGTCTTCGCCTTCTCAGCATAATGTGCTGAGAATGAGCTTCGGAAGAATTTCCATACCTCGGTTTTGTCCTTACAGCAAATGCATCCACTGAAATAGACGTCGATAATCGAATCAAGTCCACACACTCAGCATACGGGAAGCTATTCAAGTGTCTTCGGCAGTCCTTAACAAACACAAACCACCAAGCTCATGTTCTACCGTGTTGTTCTAATTTCGACTCTCTTGTACGACTGTGAGGCCTGGGTACTCTACCGAAAAGACATTCATAATTTGAAAGTTTCCATCAAATCGTGCTGAATACGTGGCAGGACCGGATCACGAACAACGAAGTTCTCTTCCGTGTAAAGATGGAGAGACATCAGGACTCGCCACCGACTTCGATGGGCCGAGCACCTTACCCGAATGCCAGACATACGCCACCCAAACAAATCCTCTTATCGGAGCTCGCATCTGGCAAGAGAACACGTCATTGATTCAAGAGCAGCTGAAAAACACCTGAGGACAGATATCGATCCGGCCAATTTGGGATACAGAAGCCGAGAGTCAGAACCAATTTGACGGGGGGAGGAGGAGCAGTCGACGAAAAAAGAACAACGAGAAGACAAATAGAAGAGAGCACAAAGAAAAGCTTGAGCTCTCTATCTCATAAACAATCCGATACTACTGTGCATTGGTTGCGGTCATTGCTTCAGATTCGACGTAGAACTCATTTCATAGAGAAGGGAATGTCGATATGCTCGGCAACGAGTTCCGCTAACGATGACAATATAAAGATTATTTTTTATTATATAATAAAATAATTTTGTTAATAATTGTTTCTTTGTTTTTTAGAAGATGAATGTAGACACGGATATTATGGACCGAACTGCAATTTAGAATGTGGACATTGTCTAAACAATGAACAATGCAGGAAATATGACGGTACCTGCCCATCGGGTTGCGCCTTGGGATGGACTGGAAGACTGTGTAAAACCAGTAAGAAAAATTGTTTCTATTATCTCATCAATCTAAAATTTATACACGTTTCAGTATATTTTTCTTTTATTTATATTGCATAGTAAGGATAATTTTGTAAATAATTCTTTCTTTGTTTTTTTAGAAGATGAATGTAGACACGGATATTATGGCCCGAACTGCAAATTAGAATGTGGAAATTGCTTAAACAATGAACAATGCAGAAAACATGACGGTATCTGCCCATCAGGTTGCGCCTTGGGATGGACTGGAAGACTGTGTAAAACCAGTAAGAAGAATTGTTCCTTTTAATTTATCTATCTAATTTTTAAACGTCTTACTATTATATACATTTTCTTATACATTTATATTGATGAACTATATATATATATATATATATATATATATATATATATATATATATATATATATATATGTATGTATATATGTATGCCTAAAGACTTCTCTTCTCTCGTCCTCTTCTCCAAATCTCTCTTCTTTCAAGTTATACAGCGACAGAGTCGAGGTAAGAGGAGAGGCTGTGGTTTGGCCGGAATCCCCTAGTTCCAAACTGCACGTAGGCGGCTGTTGTTTCTTGGTTGCATGTCAGAGAATTAACGGTGACTCTGACATGAGGTCCCCTTATTTGTGACTGGGATGCCCTATTTTACGAATTGAAATTGCCCAACCCAATCTAGGAAAGCCCTATAAAATTTTGGCTAAACTTTGGATGCGATCACCTTCCTATCTGGAAAATCGCGACCAGCGGTTGCCCATTTTCTGCGGTCGACCAAATTCTTTCTATTATCGGCACCCTAACTTTTGGCGCATGGAACGCTTCTTCGATTTTCAAGATCGGACTTGGCCTGAACGAAAGATACCCTCGTCTACAAGTATCTTGCACCCTTTGACATCAACGTAGCGGTCCTCAGTGAAACCAAAATGTTACGCAGAGGATGAATTGACGAAGCGGGATCTTGATATTCCATCTTCTGGAAAGAGAAACCATTTCCAGAATTCCGGATACATGAAGTGGGTTTTGCGGTCAAAACATTGCTGTTGCATGCCTTCAATCTCCTCCTCAAAGTCCAGTAATAAGAGGGGCAATAAAACTGTAATGAAAACGGTCTTCGCCTTCTCAGCATAATGTGCCAATACCGTCTTTTCCCTGCCCGACAAAATATCACCTGGAGGCATTCTCCAAACACTGACAATGTCATCACCCGACAGAGAGACTGCAGAGACGCCCTCATCACACGCTCCTTCCCCGTATATCCAACGACTGCTGGACGGACCATCGATTGCTTAGTGTCCAAAATCGACATCCGAACACGCAGACATCTACGCGGAAAACACCCGGTGACAAGGAAATTTGACACGCAAAACTTGACTGATCCAAACGTGGCCAGGAATACGCATCGACAATTGAGCGTCATACGAACCTCTGCGCAACAAATCACTGAAGAGTGGATATCCCTCCGGCAGAACACGTTCAGCTGAAAAAAAAACCCATCGGGCACACGAAAAGGTGTCAGAAAGACTGGTTAGACCAGAACGTTCTTGAAACGAAAATTCAAAATTGAATATGAATCCTACATATCAACTCAAAGACGGTTTCAAATCAGTATGTCTCAAGGCTCACCGCCAATGCATCCGCAGCATCAAAATGACTATTGGAGAAACAAATCGGAAGAACTACAACAATACGCCGACAGCCAAAATCTGAGAGATTTCTCCTGAGAATTCTGGAGACTTCTTCTGAGACATTTTCGATCCATTCAGGAAGTATACATCCAGCTGACAACATCGAACTCACTGAGACTCAAGATATTCTAGCGAGATGGCAAGAACACTTCTCTACCCTTCTCTGTAGTGATTCCGGCAGGGGTCAGACTTCCTCAGACGCGTACCATAGCACCCGATGCGACAGTAGATGTTTGTAAACCCTACTTTGAAGCTGCGTCAAATTCACCTGGTTCTTTATAACCTCGGTGCCTGAAATTGGTCAAGCATGCGGATTACCTCTCAAAACAAGAATCTTCATTCTTCTTCTAGCGATCTGGGAAAACAAGAAAGTTCCATCTGATCTGAAGGATGCGAATATCAACTATTTGGGAAAGGAGATTGAAGCGCGTTCTTAGAAATTATTGCGGAATCTCTTTTTGTGCATCATCTTCTTCTCAATCACCTTGTCAGAGGACATCCACCCTGAAAGTCAATGTGGTTTCAGAGCCAACAAAAGAAACATCGATAAGATTTTCTCCGTGAGACAAATCCAGGAGAAGTGCAAAATCAGCAAAGCACCTGGATATAATTTTCTACGATCTTGAAAAAGCGTTTGACAGTGTTTCAAGACCAGGCATGTGACAGGTCTTATAGACGTTATGGATATCTGAGAAACGACACTCATCCGAGCTCTACATGAGGGGATGATGGGTCGATCCAACATCAGACGAAAGGAGGCATTGAACTCGATAAGTTAGTGGACAACTCCTGAGCGTACGTGCGCTTCATCATCATGTGCCAAAGACCATGGCCTGCTAAAAGTCCACGACCGGGGCATCTACCACCACCTGTAGTCAATATCACCATCAATGAACTGGACATGGGGAATGTTGAAGAATTTCCATACCTCGGTTTTGTCCTTACAGCAAATGCATCCACTGAAATAGACGTCGATAATCGAACAAACACTCAGCATACGGGAGCTATTCAAGTGTCTTCGGCAGTCCTTAACAAACACAAAACCACCAAGCTCATGTTCTACCGTGTTGTTCTAATTTCGACTCTCTTGTACGACTGTGAGGCCTGGGTACTCTACCGAAAAGACATTCATAATTTGAAAGTTTCCATCAAATGAAACTCGTCAAATCGTGCTGAATACGTGGCAGGACCGGATCACGAACAACGAAGTTCTCTTCCGTGTAAAGATGGAGAGACATCAGGACTCGCCACCGACTTCGATGGGCTGAGCAACCCGAATGCCAGACATACGCCACCCAAACAAATCCTCTTATCGGAGCTCGCATCTGGCAAGAGAACACGTCATTGATTCAAGAGCAGCTGTAAAACACCTGAGGACAGATATCGATCCGGCCAATTTGGGATACAGAAGCCGAGAGTCAGAACCAATTTGACGGGGGGAGGAGGAGCAGTCGACGAAAAAAGAACAACGAGAAGACAAATAGAAGAGAGCACAAAGAAAAGCTTGAGCTCTCTATCTCATAAACAATCCTATACTACTGTGCATTGGTTGCGGTCATTGCTTCAGATTCGACGTAGAACTCATTTCATAGAGAAGGGAATGTCGATATGCTCGGCAACTAGTTCCGCTAACGATGACAATATAAAGATTATTTTATATTATATAATAAAATAATTTTGTTAATAATTGTTTCTTTGTTTTTTAGAAGATGAATGTAGACACGGATATTATGGCCCGAACTGCAATTTAGAATGTGGACATTGTCTAAACAATGAACAATGCAGGAAATATGACGGTACCTGCCCATCGGGTTGCGCCTTGGGATGGACTGGAAGACTGTGTAAAACCAGTAAGAAAAATTGTTTCTATTATCTCATCAATCTAAAAATTTATACACGTTTCAGTATATTTTCTTTATTTATATTGCATAGTAAGGATAATTTTGTAAAAATAATTTTCTTTTGTTTTTTAGAAGATGAATGTAGACACGGATATTATGGCCTGAACTGCAAATTAGAATGTGGAAATTGCTTAAACAATGAACAATGCAGAAAACATGACGGTACCTGCCCATCAGGTTGCGCCTTGGGATGGACTGGAATACTGTGTAAAACCAGTAAGAAAAATTGTTTCTACTATCTCATCAATCTAAACATTTATACATGTTTCAACGTTACATATTTTTTAATATATATTGATAAAAAATGATTATATATATATATATATATATATATAAAGAGAGAGAGAGAGAATGAGAGAAAGAGAGAGAGAGAGGGAGAGTAAGAAAGAGAAAGAGAGAAAGCAAGAAATGTATTTTTGTTTTTAATATATTATATCGTATTCGATATGAATATTATTTTTATATTACGTAATTGATACATTTTGCAAATTTATCTTATTTCTTTGTTATTTAGAAGATGAATGTAGACACGGATATTATGGCCCGAACTGCAATTTTGAATGTGGACATTGTCTAAACAATGAACAATGCAGGAAACATGACGGTACCTGCCCATCGGGTTGCGCCTTGGGATGGACTGGAAGACTGTGTAAAACCAGTAAGAAAAATTGTTTCTATTATCTCATCAATCTAAACATTTATACATGTTTCAGCATATTCTTTATTGATATTGCTTAGTAAGGATATATATATAAATATAGAAGTGAACATAGAAGTCAACACTTAGAGGCGACAGTTTCATGCTATATACAATCGTCAGGCCACGTGGCCTGACGATTGCATCTAGCATGAAACAAGTCAGTGGTTTTCTTGGGTAGTATGAAGTCTACGAACCTACTATGTTCTGTAGTTCCCAGTTTTCTCAATAGTAGACGTACCTTTTTTTTTACTGGACCATTGTTCACAGTCTATGTTGAAAATATCTTCGTAGCGCTTGTAAAAACCGTCGAACGTTTTATCGTCCTCTGGTACGTATTCAAATGTTTCCATTGAATTGTAGATTGTACTCTAGGAGAATATTGAATCTTTTTCAGAGTTTGAGCCTTTTAATGCATTTACGAGTAATTCTTTAAGTTTTTTCTGTTGTAGTTCAGCATTCTGAGGCGTAATTTTTTGAAATTCCATTTGTTGTTCATGTAATTCCAAAAATAGTAGTTGTTGTCTTTCTTCTGATTTTTGTTGCTGATCCAAATTTAGTTTTAACATTTGGTCAACCACTTTTTGCAAATCTTCCATATTTAAAAATAACAGCGCTTTTTTGTTGCTTTGAAACACGTGTACTAAGAGGAGGTACACAAAAAAGTCTTGATAGATTTTTGTTCCTTTTTTTTCTTTTACAGAAAAAAAATATGAACAGACAATAGTTAAACTAATCTAATTATGTGTTTAGATTTTTTTTTTGAGATTCCGTGGTTCCGTTAATTTTAACGTAATTGTATAAATTTTCACCACACTTATGTATTAATTTTTTTTTTATAGAGGTACAAAAAGAGAAAACTTACCTCAGTGAATTTGAGGGGAGAATAATTTTATGCAGAGTTCAACTCAGTTACATGAAAAAAAAAAATTTAGATAGTTTTTTTCGAAATCTTGAGTACACTGGTAGTACTTCCGCTCTCGTATTGTCAGTTTGTTTTATGACAAACTGTTTTTTTTTCTGTGTGTGAGTGTGTAAGAAATCGTTCTCGTAATGTTATTTGGTCAGACTTTAATATTCCGTAGATGTCGAAACACTACTCGTCACTGATGTTTGGTATTGGAATATATGTAGACGCTTGGTGTTTAGCTTTTAAATCGCTAATGTATTAATACCAGCTTAATTTCACGTTCAACACTGCTGTGGGAACGCGTGGAGTTTGTGTATTTTTCGAGTACTGTCGCTATTGAAATGGTGAGAACGAAATTCTCGAATCTTTTCTGTCGCCACTGTTGTGAGACTGGCAAGGTATTGCGGTTTTTCGACGTGAATGCGTTTCTCGAATTCTTGTCGACCCAGATGTAGGATTGGTAAGGTATTTAAGTTTCGCCGTGAGTGCGTTTCTCGAATCCTCGTCGACACTGATGTGGGGCCAAAGTTGGGATTATAGAAGGAAAACACGGAACACGGATTAGATGTAAGAAAGATATATTAACAACAGGTTACAGAGATAGTGTAAGCGGAGCTTACTATAAGTTAGTGTCCAACACTGGTAGTCGTACAAGACTCTCACTGTCACTCAGTAGAGTGCTATGTCGCCTACTTAATATAGGCCTGGAAGAGTCTATTGTGTAGGTAGTTTCCGGTCTCACAATAATATATTACATCGTATTCTATATTAATATTGTTTTAATATTACGTAATTGATACATTTTGCAAATTTATCTTATTTCTTTGCTATTTAGAAGATGAATGTAGACACGGATATTATGGCCCGAACTGCAATTTTGAATGTGGACATTGTCTAAACAATGAACAATGCAGGAAACATGACGGTACCTGCCCATCGGGTTGCGCCTTGGGATGGACTGGAAGACTGTGTAAAACCAGTAAGAAAAATTGTTTCTATTATCTCATCAATCTAAAAATTTATACACGTTTCAGTCTTTTTTTAAAATTTTTATTAATTACATTTACAGCCCCGAGTGTTTAAGAAATTTACTTAAATATATATCTATACAATTAACGTATAACTAGAAAATATATCAAAGTAATTGTCGGCCATTCCGTTTCATAACACTGAGAGCGAGCGGGAGGAGAGAGAGAGAGAGAGAGAGAGAGAGAGAGAGAGAGACAGAGACAGAGACAGAGACAGAGACAGAGAGAAAGAGAGACGCAGAGAGAGATGTATTATTATTGTTTGGATATGTTATGTTCTATATAGATATAGTTTTATATTACATCGTTGAATATTTCTTATTTCTTTTGTTATGTAGAAGATGAATGTCGACACGGATTTTATGGCCGGGACTGTACATTGGAATGTGGACATTGCAGGAATAACAAACAATGCAGAAAATATGACGGTACCTGTCCATCGGGTTGCGCTGACGGATGGTCTGGGAAACTGTGTAAAACTAGTAAGAAAAATGGTTTCTTTCACTATGGATCGTGTTTTTGATGTATCGCCATTATACAATTTTTATTTATAAATTTACATTGTTTACTCAGGTTAAAACTTAAACTGACTGAAATATTAAAAGTTAACTAAAAAAAATTTGAAAAAAATATCAGAGTAATCTTTTTGAAATTTATCCCGAGTAAGTGCGACTATGTTAGTGATAAATATGTCTGATTTAGAAATATTTATTTTTTATATGAGTATATTTTGAAAACAAATACAAACTATCTACGAATAATTGTTTTCATATTCCAAGAACATTTAAATTCACAAATTGCATTCCTCAAAAGTTCCATTGTCAGCAAGAATTTGAAAGTCTTTAAGATAAGAAAGGTAGAATACTATTTTTTAATCGAATTCATCTCATACACAGCAGTAAAGCCACTAAGACACAAGAGGTTGCTGTGTGTGAAAGAATTAGAAAACAGAAGCATTATTGTGGGGCTGACCCTTCTTGATTTCCTCTAGCACTACAAGAGCCAGAGCGATTCGAAAATAGAGTACTACTGCCATATATCGGAAGGTTATGATCAGTCTTCACTTTCTAGTCTTGATAAAGCCGCAAAACGAGGCCTTGTAGGTGATGGATTATTTTCCACACTAGAACCCCTTTCCAACATACAAGACGTCGATGCTCTATCGCTACATTACTTAATTCCACTAGTCCTCACTAAGACCCGCCATGCCATATGCACATTGTAGCGAACCGCCATCATCCCCTTCGTATTCCTTTGGAGAGATGTAAGTTCCACTGGAACAGCTTCTTCCATGTATAGAACCGACTCCGAAGAGGTTAATTCCCCGATCGCTACAATCTTAGCCTGTTTAAGACTAGGGTCAACCGTTATCTTCCCCACATATTCCCATAAACTGTTTCTCTAACCTTCTACCTCTAATGGCTCTTGGGCCTTGTACACTATTAACATTATTGAAGAAAAAAAAAGAAAAGAAAATTAATTTCAGGAATTATTTTTTTGTGTTTTGCAGATTTATGCCCAGATCATGGACAAGACATGTTATATTCAATCAATAACTTTTGCTATTATGTCTTTAATAATGGATCTAATTACAACACTGCTAACAACGCATGTTGCCAACTTGAAGGGCATCTACTTTGGTTGCAATCTAGTGACGATTATGAATTTGCAGTGAACAAAATTGATCGTAGTAAGTATTTTTTGGATTCTTTCATTAGAACTTATGAAAATGTTAGTCTGATTTCTATAAGGATCATATGGGTTGAAAAATATGTTGAAGTTTAAAGTTTCTTGACTTTGACGAGAATCATTTTTTAAATAAAAGGATCTGAGAGTCGACATCTTTTTACGCTACTGTGGATTAGGAGAAAGTTAAAAGAAATCTATTGACGTTGCCTCTTTATTTAAACGCTATAAATTAATTGATTTGTTTTTTTTTTTTAATTTTTTTTCAGCTTACGAATTTTTTGCGGGTTATTTAAAACCAGAAAATATTTTTAGATTGAAATAAATTTTTGGCGATAATAATCGACTATTTTCGACTACAAATTCTAATTAATTCCGAGTGGAGAAGAATTGGATTTGTTCTCTTCCCAAGGATATTTGCGAGGAAGTGAATATAATGAACCCAACGGGAATTAGAACTCGGTTCTCTGATTTTCAAATCCGAGCCGTTCTCCAATACAACACGCGCACATTCAAGCTTAGAACATCTGGTATTCTCAAACGGTCACCCATCTAGGCACTAACCAGGCTAGACGTTGCTTAACTTGGGTGATTCATATGAGAAGTATCCATTCCATCGATATATTTCCCATTGTCTTTATACAGAGATTCGACTTTGGATCAAATCGTCAATTCCCTTCCTAAAGAATTCTGTATTCAAAGAATTCGAAATATTTATCGAAGGCTTCTCAAATTTGACTCAATTTGGATGAATTTTTGTTTCTAGAATAATGGCAGAAATTCATAAAGAAATGGTAATCTGTATGAAAAACAGTTGAATGAATGATGGAAATAAAGTCTCCATCTTAAACTATTTCAATTTTATTATTGTTATTTTAGCCGCATAATGCAAGATATGTGATATGCTGAAGAGAAAAATAAGAATGGAAAATATGTCAAAACAAGTGAATGATAAAAAAAAGCAAAAAACAGAACACACTCAATGTTATCTCACACATGTTACGTAAATTTCTCTGGATGTGCTTAATGGAAATTTTAAAACATGATAATGATTTATGAATTAACCTGCAATGCTTTCTTAGTTTCAATGATTTTTATAAACTTGAACATTTAACAAACAAAATATATATGGTTATTATAATTTAAAAATGTTTGAACAAATACATGGCAACTCACCATAAAAAAATATGAATAGATGATATTAATATCTAAAGAAGTAATGGATTTTTTTAATTTATTAATGCGACAGATTTTTATCACTTTCAACGTTATTTTTAGTGGATACTCATATTTGAATAGACGTTCCGTTTATTTTAAACAGTACATTTATTTTTGCCTACCGGCCTGAATATTCGAGAAATCTTATTAAATCAAATTTGCCGGAGCACCATCTTTTGTTTTTTTAAGATTTCTTAAATATTTAGGCCGGTAGACGAAAATAAATATACTGTTTAAAATAAAGGGAACGTCTACTCAGATATGAGTATCCACCAAAATAACGTTTAAAGTAATAATAATAATAATAATAATAATAATATCATAAAATACAAGAAATTCAGGAAATGTATGCTTATTGACATAGCATTACCAACTGAGAGAAACACCCCCATCAAAATTATCGAGAAATTGTCCAAATACAAGGACCTGCAGATCGAGATTAATAGGGTGTGGGAAATGAAGACTGAGACTGTACCAATAGTGTTGTAATCTCCCTCTCTTCTGGAGAGGTCTTTTGGTTGACGGGGTCGATTCCATAACGAAGCTGCCTTCTTCTCTCTCGGTGGTCTTCTTCCGGTCAGGTGATCGCTAGTTGGTTTGCACGGAGGTAAAGCGAGAACTTCAGCAAAAGGGATTTTTAAACTTATCTATTTTATTAAACACGTCGACGTGTACATAACTAGCCACTGAGGTTGCTATCCCACCCCACTGGGGAGCAGTTTTCATACACGAAATTAAAACGTCTGCATTCTTCGACGTGTTAAACTCAACTCCCTGAAAACACTTTCTATGTCTCACATGCCCACGTTCGGCTAAGCCAATCAAAATCGACATCCCTGTTTTGTCTACCAGCTGATCTCAATGTCAACCTCAGAAGGTCAGAGCCAAATACATTTCCACTAAAAAATAATAGTGTGTGACTATTATTTAACAATAGTAATTAGAGCTCTGAGCCTCGGGAGAAAAGTAATTTTACTAACAATGTCCCAGGTATCATCAACATATAAGTTGCCCAGAAGATCGCCCTTCTACGAACATCCCATTTACTAAGAAAAGTGCTATCAGTTAAGTGACATTTCTTTTATAGGGCCTAAGGACCATAGATTAGATCCGTCTCTACACGATACAAAGCAGGAAACATATCATACACAAATAATAATAATAATAATAATAATAATAACAATAATAATGATAATAATAAAACGGTGCCTCCTTATTGATATGGCAGTCCCTGCTGACTGCAATGTATCTTTGAAGATATTCAAAAAGCTGTCAAAATACAAGGACCTTTAAATAGAAATCTCGAAAATGTGGCATATGGGAACATCAACAATCCCTCTTGTAGTTGGAGCCCTAGGACTGGTTGGAAAAGATTGCAGTAGACTAATTGAAGGGATTCCTGGAAGTCCATGCCTAAAGGAGATACAAAAAATTGTTCTGACAAGTACAGCCCACACTTTGCGAAGGGCTTTATCTATGTAATTTTTTTATTTTTGTCAGTGGAAAGTGTCATGATGCCATTTCTAACCTTAGGTCCCTGGGCGGGACCCGGAAAGAAATGTGTAAACGCCAGAAATCAAATAAAATAAAAAATAATAATAATAATTAGCTGGATCATTGGAAAGATTTGAAAACTAAGATTATCTTTTATTTCATGCCTTTGAGTTTCCCGTGCAAGTGTCTTCTCATTCTCTCCCTTATCCGTTCCAATTTATTTTTTTTTTTTGGTTAAATCTTATATAAACACGGATTAGTTTTATATGCGTAACAGCAATAAAGAATGCATCCCTAATCTATCTTTGTTTTACATTCTCTTTCTATAAAGAAATTCAAATTTTTACACATTTACATCCATATCTACTTTCAATTTCGAATGGCAACATGCTTGGTAAATGTTTTTTTAAATATTTTTATTTTTTTTTAGAATTAATGCCAGTTTGGATTGGAGCAGTACGAAATCGCTTCCATCGTTACGCATGGACATATTGTGGCGAACCACAAATTCTCGTAAATAGTAGGTATTGGGCTGAGGCACACCCCCAAATACAGAACACACATGCTATGTTTTATGGGGAAAAGGCAGTCAGTACCTGTGCGGTAGATATCCACCTACCATATGTCTGTCAAGGTATGTATTCTCATCTTTTTTTTATTGTCTTTAAATAATTTTCGGGAGTGAGGTAAATAAAATGAAGATAGCCACAGTCACCTCATTCCCGTAGGTGAGCAGAAACGTTTAGCTTCGACGTATGATCAACCTATAAGCAAAATATTTAAAAGTATATTTCTCTTGATGTAGTGAGTCTCATCATGGTGGGGTTGGTGCTTTTGGCTTTAAACCATTTTCTGTCTTTGTTATTCTATAAAGTTCAAGGTTTTGCCGAACGACTACATTTTCGCATTTAATGCTATATTAGTCTTTGTTTTTTTTAAATTGTTAGATAGATAGATAGATAGAGAGAGAGAGAGAGAGAGAGAGAGAGAGAGAGAGAGAGAGAACGACAGAGAGACGCACAAGACACTGAAAGTGACATACAGAGAGACAGAAAGACAACGAGGGAGAAAAAGAGAGAGAACATACAGAAAAATGGATAGAAAGAGATAGAGAAACTTTGTGTGTGTGTGTGTGTGTGTGTGTGAGAGAGAGAGAGAGAGAGAGAGAGGGGCAGAAATACACAAAGAAGATGAGACAGAAAAAGAGAGGTATACTAATACACAAAAAGTGATATATATATATATATATATATATATATATATATATATATATATATAAAGAGAGAGAGTGAGAGAGAGAAAGAGAGAGAGAGGGGGCAGCGATACAAACAGAAAGAGTATGGGACATAGAAAGGAGCATACACTGATACACAGAGAGAAACAAAGAGATATAGGGAAAGAGATAGAGAGACAAAGAGACAAAGAGAGAGAGGGAGAGGCAGAGATGAAAGAGAATGAGGCACGGAAAGGATGTACACTGATACACAGAGAGAGCGACTAAGAGAGAGAGAGAGAGAAAGAGAGAGAGAGAGAAAGAGAGAGAGAAAGAGAGAGAGAGAGAGAGAGAGAGAGAGAGCGACTAAGAGAGAGAGCGACTAAGAGAGAGAGAGAGAAAGAGAGAAAGAGAGAGAGAGAGAGAGAGAGAGAGAGAGAGAGAGAGAGAGAGAGAGAGAGAGAGAGAGAGAGCGATAGATAGATAGGGAAAATAGATAGCGAAATAACCAAACGCTTTGATAAAGAAAATTGATGTCTGTAAGTACTAGTTAACGAGTCTTTTGTAAATTGTGCCACATGTTCTCTTTGAAAAATTGTGCAAAAATATTAAAGTGGCAGCTTAGAAATTTGTAAGGCTCTTTTATTTTGAAAAAGTGCATTCTAAGTAGTGCTGTTTAAGAAACAAACCTGAAAGGCTTTTCAGACGAAACGTCATATTGACATCTTTGTAAGAATTACTTTTATTAACTTTCTGTAAACATTTTTTATATCATGGACGCATGTCTACTAATTACTGACATCTCTTTATAATCATTTTTTTACTTCCCAAAATGGAGACACACTTACTTCAGACATTATTTTCTATTGTATCAAAATTTTAAAAAAGAAAAGTGTTAATTATTTAACCAAACTCTTTAGCTTCTTAAATCAGCTTTAATACATGCAGAATTAACACTATTACCGGGAAGTTTAATTCAATCTCTATCTATTTCTCTCTCTCTCTATTTCTCCCTCTCTCTCTCACACACACAAACACAAAAATAAAGTAATAGATGTTTCATTTATTAATCCGACACGTTCTATCACTTTAAACGTTATTTTTTAGTGGATACCCATAATTAAGTAGACGCTAGATTATATATATATATATATATATATATATATATATATATATATATATATATGTGTGTGTGTGTACGTGCGCGCGCGTGGGTGCGTGTATTTAGGTGGCAAATTTTTTTAGGCATGTCTGATTAAATAAATTACTAACATTATGTCTGCTTATTTTTAACACAATGCGATCATAATCATAAATGATGCAAGAAATACACAGTAATTTTCATTGTTACAGTGGATTTCTTGCATCATTTGATTGTAATACACAGAAAAATATCCGTGAATATGAACAATAAAAATATATGAAAAATAAGCAGACACAATGTTCATAATTTATTTAATCAGACATACACACATTTATCATATATTTTCCCCAATATTGTTCTTGATATATAAAAATGGGTATATTCTTACCTCATATATATATATATAAAGAAATATAGTCTTAAGGTATGCTATATTTATGGGATAAAGTGCTCAATATCAGAGATAGAGATTAACAAATATAAAGTCTTTATTGAAGTCAACACTTAGAGGCAACAGACTGTCCGCTCTAAGTGTTGACTTCAATGTTCACTTTTATATATATATATATATAAGAAATACTAAATAAGATAAATATTAATGTAGGTGTTATTTCACATAATATGTCTAAATTATAGTAGACGATGTGGCAAAAGTTTTATTAATTTTATCAGATTTTTCAAGTTTTCTCTTTATTAGTCAGATGAATTTTGTTGTAAAATAGTTTTAGAAAAATTATAATTTCGGCTTGTCAACAAACTTTACAGATTGAAATGTTTTTCATAAAAAATTGAAAATAAATGTCAAAAGGCAATTACAAATGTCACTAACGAAGTTATAAAGACAATATTAAATTGAAGTGTATGTTCCATCTCCAGGGCCGGATTATGACCTTTTGGGGGTCTCTAGGCTAATAAAATTATACTTCATCTCAGAAAGAACCTCCCCTAACTCGCCCACACTCATCTTAAATATTTTTACTCCTGACATATTTTAGCAACGTATACATAGCTTGAAGTAAACTTATTTGAAATTCTTTAATTAAATTAGAATAGCTATCTTGTTTGTTAATAAAAATATTCTTTAAGAAATAACACTATTTTACTATAAATTGGAAACCAAATTAACGCATATTTCAACACAACCAGAGTAAAAAAGCAGAAATTTTATAAACAATATTATAATAATAAAAATAAATATGGATTTTTCATATTGATATCATTTAAGTTTATGAAACTATTTAGAAGTTATAACATCGAGAAAATGAAAATCACTGCTTTATAAAAATTTCTAAGATTTAAAAATTCTGAATTAAAATCAAACATGTTATCTATTTGAAACGAAATGACACAAATTAAAACATCCTTTTCCTTGCTTTGCTTCATATAAAGTCAAATAAATATGAATTTGTCATTTTGATGTGGCACCATGCATAATTAGAAAACTGAAAAGAGATATTCATAAATATATGATTTGTTTTTTCGGTTTGTTAACCAATTGAGAATTATTTAGAGCTGAAAAATATTTCTGGGTTGAGAATAATTCTTTAATTGCGTTCAGACGATCTGAGAGAAAGAAAGAAAAAAAAAAAAGGAAAATAAATAATACGAAACCAGGTCGTAAGCGAAAACACACACGCTCGACTGGCGCATATCAGATGTCAAAAATATCAGGTCAAGCACCGACCCACTTTCGTGTCCGCGGAGGATGGGAGTTTGTTATCAATTTGGTTGAAGAAATAAAATTTTAGGGACAATGAAAAAAGAAATATTGATAAGTAACAAATGAAAAGGGTGTCATTGAGATGATAGGTAACAGATGGGGAAGTGTATCTAAGGATATGAAAACAAAGCATTAATACAAGAACCCAGACAATTTCTAGAGTTGGAAAAAAAAAACACCCAAGGTGATGTCGCTCTTTGAGATAATACAGATTTTTATTATCGGCCGGGGAGAATGAAATATTTTGTTGCGTTCAGACGGCCACCGACAGGTCTAAGAAATTCTTTTTTTTAGATCGTATCCAATTAGCGATAGGCTGTTTTGACAGATACCACGTGTAAAAGAAACCGGGATCGTCATTTTCGTACGAAAAGGACAATTTAAATTTTGTTTTTTTTAAGCAAGGTATTTCTTCCCCCAGAACAAAGCCACGGATTGTCCACGCCCGATTAGAGACGTCACGAAGGAAGGAGGAAAGATACCGACCAGAGTTTCATTGGCCGAAGGCGGTCACATGATACATGAGGGAGGAGGAGAGACGCCTGACCAGGACCCCATTGGCCGAGAGCGGTCACGCATGATGTGCGAGGGAGGAGGAAAGATGCCCGACCAGGACCCCATTGGTCGAGAGCGGTCACCTGACATACGAGGGACCAGGGAAGCGGGTATACGCCTCCCCCAGAGGCACAGTAAGGAAGTAGGAGGAAAGTAAGTTACCGATAATGGAAAATCCTAATCAGAAAAGAAATAATACGTCTTTAGAATTATCAAGAAAACCCTGGCGCCGACAGACCCACCCCAGTTTTTGACTGCCTCAATAAAAGCAGGACCCCAATCGACAGAAATCAGTTGCAGAGCGGACGGCGGGCCCTGTTCATTCGCCCCTTTGCGGGCAAGGAAGGCCGGTCCGTTTGGCCCGGACAGGCAGAGAAGTTGCAGCGCTGACGGCGGAGACGAGTGGACAATAATTCAGACTCTGAAGCCGAAGAGAAGAAGTTAAAGTTGGGGTTGCGCCTCGGACGAAGTTGGAGTTGGAGTTGCAGCGCGGACGGCGGGCCCTGTTCATTAGTCCCCTTTGCGGCAAGAGAAGCCGAAGAAGAGAAGTTGGAATCAAACCAAGCCTAAGAAGAGAAATTCGTCCAACCCAAGTCGAAGTGAAGAAATTCACCCAACTCAAGCCGAAGTGAATAAGCTCGTCCAACCGAAGCCGAAGACAAGAAGTTAGTTCGCGCACTGACGGCAGAGATGAGTGAACAATAGTTCAGACTCTGAGGAGAGAGTTAGTTACAGCCACGGACGACGAGGGAAATCAGCCGTGAACGACAGGTAGAGATCAGCGCCCAGTGTTGAAACCAAACCACACCCCGAAATGCAAATTTCTAGAGAGCAAGCAACTCGAAGCCTTAAAGTTGTATGGTAGAAGCTTGGTGCCACGGTCCACAGAACGGGTCGGGAGGTAGGAATAATCTTGTGTAACGAACATTTAGATATAAAAAGTTGTTACCTTTTTCTTCAATAATTTTTTGTGAGTTTTTCTTTTTCTTGTGTGTTATCACCCCCGTTGGACTCAGCTTGCATACGGCCCCAATCCCTGT